TAATAACCTCAAAACGGGATGCATTACAACAGGGCTTTTTATGCATAGTTCTGTGATCCTTTGAGATGAAAGATGCCACAGAACTGTAAATTTGTGCCATTGTTATTATTATCTGAATTGACGCTTCTTCAATACTCCTGGAAGTGACATATAAATAATAGCATTATGATCTAATCAATATCTCATATTTACATCTCCCCTTTCATCCAGAAAGATCACAGAGCTCTTTGTAAGCAGTGTTTTCACAAGTCCCTCTTAGTTGAGCATAACAGCACCAAAGGGAGCCTGGTGAGCCAATATATAATTATACTGGTATGATTTCACCCAGTTTCAAGTCACGTTGAGATCCCACTGCATCTTAGTAGGTTAAGATAGAAAGTGATGGACAGTCCAGTACCTGCAAACTACAGAAGAAAATTTACACTTGAGGTAGAATTTGTCTAAGGCATCAAAACTAACATGTCTGCACTTGTAAAAGTGGCACAGGAGCATTTAATGACCATATATAGCCAGAAACATCACTGAACACTCCTTCCAAGTGCAAAGGTGTCCTAAGTTTATAAAACTTTATAGACTTCACATTCCTGTAACCAGAAGAGAGTAGAAAGCTCGACATAGACATGGCCAAGAGTTAGTGGACAGATTGTTATTAAACACTGTGTGTGTTTAAGGCATCCCTCCCTCACTACTCCATGTGCTTTGCATTTATTCTTGGACAGAGTCTTCAAATAAAATTATATTCTCCTTCTGAGAAGCAAGAGACCTCTCTAGTTGGGTCAATTTTCTTGTTCTATATGCAAAAGGGTTTGTTGTTGTTGTTGTTGTTGTTTTGTATTTATTTTTTTATGAAGCCCTGCATTTCTAATTAATAGCATTTTTCTGAGAGGGGTCTTGGTCAATCCTGTGCTGTGCATAAGATGGAGAAACTTAAGTTTGAGAGATTGAAGAGCACTTGATTTGTCAAAGTCAGGTGGCAATGCAAGGAGGCCACTACTGAATCAGGTCACCTTGCCAGCTCTCTGGGAAGGCAGAGAATGGCTCAGAGGCCAAGGAGAGCTCTGGAGAACCCTCTGGATATCAGTCAAGCTCCAACCAGAATCAAGCCTGATTGTATTTAAAATGGTTTCTGTGAAAAGAACATGTCAATGACCATTGTCTGGTATCATTTGGCTGAATGCCATTTTTACTGAAAGCACTAGAATCTAAGCTGGTATTCATGGGCTTTCTGCTATTAAGCATAGTGAAGATGCCAAGAAAATGAGGCTCAAATCTAAGCGGTTTTTGCTGCAGGTGTAGTAGTTTCACCTCACACGTACAAGTGGGATGAGACATAAGTTCAGAAAAACTTTCACATCAGCCCCAAGTCACTGTCTGAAACATCTGGGAGCCCACAGTGCTTAGCTGAGAGCCAAATCCTGATTTACCCTTAATTCACTAGACACAGACAGTGGTAACATGGTGCTAAGGGTGACATGGTTTAGTCAGGGACTTGTAAGTGTGAGGTTAATGATTGGACTCAATGATCTTGAAGGTCTTTTCCAGTCTAGACAATTTTGTGATTCTGAAATTCTGTAAGAGATTGAGAGCAGCACAGGCAATGATGGATGTACTCCCTCTGTGTGAAACCAGATCTCTGCCTTCTCAAAGAAGGGAATGCTCTTGGTACGCATTTCCACCTTATTGCACCCTAGATCACTGTGGCTAGTAAGACACAACAACCTATAAGAAGATGGCTGTGGAAGTGTGGCCACAGGGTATCTGTGAAATGCACAGTGGGTCTCATTGCATCTCTTTCAGGTCCTGAGCTGCGTGAACCCTGACAACGTGAACAGCCCTGAGATCCCGGTGAAGATCCTGAATTGTGACACCATCACACAAGTCAAGGAGAAAATCCTCGATGCCATTTTCAAGAACGTGCCCTGTTCCCACCGACCCAAAGCTGCTGATATGGACTTGGGTATGTGAGTGCACAAGGGGCTCTGATTGCCCCCAGGCAGTGGGGAGAGTGAAGATGGGAGACAGCCAAATGCAATCTAGGCATTGATTGTTGGGTCAAGTGTCGTCTTCAGACTGGGTAGCAGCTGAGAGAACTGAGGTTTATCCTGGAGAAAAGGAAGCTGAGGGGAGACCTTCTTGCTCTCTCCAAGTCCCTGAAAAGAGGGTGTAGAGAGGTGGGGGTGGGTCTGTTCAACCAAGGAACAAGTGACAGGACAAGAGGAAACGGCCTCAAGTTGCACCAAGGGCAGTTGAGATGGGATGTGAGGAAGAATTTCTTTGCTGCAAGGGTTCTGAGGCATTGGAAGGGGTTGCCCAGGGCAGTGGTGGAGTCCCCATCCCTGGAGGGATTGAAGAGTCGTGTAGACATAGTGCTGAGGGCCATGGGTTAGTCGGGGACTTGTCAGTGTTGGGTTAATGATTGGACTCGATGATCTTAAAGGTCTTTTTCAATGGAGGAGATTCTGTGATTCTGTGATTTTGTAGACCCTTGGTGTTTATGCAGGGCAGAGCAGCAGCACTGGTGAGAGGACAGAAGAGAGTTATTAAATTGATGTATATCCTCCTGGCTTGTGAAATCTTTGGTCTTGAGGACTTAAAAAGACCAGTAGCCATCCTAATATTCTGACAATAGGATTCAGCTTGGACAAGAGTATGGAAAAGACATGACTGGAGCTATTCTGACTCTCCTACCAAAGACTCTTGGAAAAAGAGCACCAAATGTCCAGGGTGGTGTTGTTAGCAGTGTTCAGGCTGCAGAAATTTATTCCTAGCTCTTCTCTGAATAGTGAGGTTTGGATTATATATATCTTCTCGCTGAGATAGTCACAGCCCAAGCTGTATTAATTACTTGTTGTGCAGGCACAGAAAGGGGATGAAGCATTCTTCATTCAGTGGGCTGCATCCATTTCACCCCTGACTGCTTCCTTCTTCTGCCAGCATCCTACCACCAACAGCAGGGCTGGGAGCTGCTGCAGTAAGGTTTTCTTTCTGCAGAGGACTAGGAGGTCTTAAGGAAAGATTAGTCCTAATGTATTAATGTTAATGCATAATTTTTTGTGTGTTTTTGTTTGTTTGTTTGTTTTTTCCTCAGTGGTTTGCTCCTTTGTGCATTGCTCTGCTTGGAGGGTGGAAAGAACTCCACCAGCTTCACTTGCATTTCTAGGCAGTTGTGCTTTTGATCTGTAGGGCACACAGAGAGCTGTATGTTCCAATGCAGGGGTGTCTCCAAGGTCAAAATCTATTTCTGCCCAAAATCTGGAGTAAGGATGCTGGGAGGAGTGAGATGTCTGGAGTTGGGATCCAGGGGCAGATGTGATACTACATCTGGAGGATACTATGAAAGAATGTAGAAAAATCCACTCGGGGCATTGCTGAGGTGTCTGATAGGGAGCTGGGGACTGTATTGTGGCTGTATCTGCCAGAATTTGCCCTCAGTGACCTTCAGTGAAAGAGACTTGAGTGGAAAGTCATAGAGTCTATAAAACCCAGCAAAGTAGAAGAGGAATCAAAAGTAGAAGGAATAGATTGACACCAAGAAACAATTCATAGCAATAACGCAGGCAGGAACAAGAGGTCATGGATTAAATTTAAAGTTGTGTGTGTGTGTATATGTGTAGGGGAGGAGGGGATTCCTGACAGAAATTACAGCAAGACTTCTGCTCATGAAAGGCAGTTAGAATAATGAAATAAGCTGTCAAAGCCAGCAGCAATAAGAATAGATCATATACATCATCCAGAAAGGACCCAAGACGATCTTGGAGCTGCTGTGAGTCAGGAGGGGAATGGTAAGTGCTGGGGTGAGCGTGAGGGCAGAGAGGGCAGGCTACCAGGGCACGGTAGACTGGAGGAGTGGGGTTTTCAGCTAGATCTCTTCATAGAATCATGGAATGGTTTGGGCTAGAAGGGACCTTTCAAGGTCATCTAGCCCAACCCCCCTGCAATGAACAGGGACATCTTCAACCAGATCAGGTTGCTCAGAGCCCCATCCAACCTGCCCTTGAATGTTTACAGAGATGGGGCTTCTACCACCTCTCTGGGCAACCTAGGCCAGTGTTTCACCAGCCTCATTGTAAAAAATTTCCTCCTTATATCCAGTCTAAATCTCCCCTCTTTTAACTTAAATTCATCATCCCTTGGCCTATCGCTACAGGCGCTATTAAAAGTTTGCCTGGTATGTCCTGACCTCTCTAATGCTGGATGGTGTCCACAGAGCCCATTACATTCAGATCTTAGACTGGGTATGACAAGAAAGTATTTTGTTCTGCTGTGGGGATGAATGATGGATCCGTACTGGGAGGCAGGATTTTTATCTGCATGTGGCAAATATGAGGGACAAATTTGAGTCCACAAATTTTATTGTAGCTCTGACAACTGACAGATGCAGAAGTGTGTGTGTGCCGGGTCCCAGCTGGAGCCTGACAATTTTATATCCAGGACTGTTGCTCTTTTAAGCAATTTTGACCCACTGAGTGATGCTGAGGACCAGTAAGTTCCAGAAAGTATTTATGAGTGTGTGCATCCCTCAGAGGACAGATTTGTCCATGCTGACAGGAGACTTCTTAATGAGCAACTCTTTGGCCAATAGCATCGATGATGCAGTTGGGGTAAAAAGAAAACAAAAAAAAACCAACCCCAAAACACACAAAAAAATCTTTGTCTAGTAGAAAAGTCTTTCCAGCAGCAATATATTTTCAGGCTCCTTTAGCACAGCAGCTAATAAGGTGGGAGGAGCAGGACTGGCATGGGTGAAGAAGAAACAAGAGGATATCCACATCCAGCAACAGCTCCAGCCCAGCCTCTTTGCAGGAAAATATGTTTGTTGGCACTTAGCATCCTTCGTTGACAGTGAAGGCAGCAACGGGAGAGCGGAAAGCACTGCTGGCCATTAGAAAACAGCATAGATCTCCCAGGATCAACCTGCCCCAGGCTGAAAGCTCAGAACTGCGAAGGCGACTGGATCAGCCCCATCAGTCCATGCTAAACAGCAGGTCAGAGCAGATGACTGTAATCTGGCCTTGACATCAATGATTTTCTAAACAGCAACACCATTTTCTATTACTATTACAATTTTCTGGACTTTCTGTCCATACTAAGGCCAGATTGTTCACATGGAAGAAAGCAAACAAGCTAATGAGTTATTTTGAGTTGTTAAATGCAGGGTAGCTGCAGGCAGAGTGACTTGTATGTGTCGCAAATGTCATAATGTTTTGCAGTTACCTAGACAACTCATGGAGGGGGTTGTCAGTTGAAGCACTTATTTTGGACGCCCTGAGGTTACATTTTAGTCCAAAACCCAAATTGCAGTCCTCTGAGTAAAAGCTTCTTTCTACAGCGACTATTTTTGTTATTATTATTTTTTAAAGCCCTCACCATATGAAAAATTCCCCATGTTTGGGAAAACCTTGGGGTGTGAGGATCACAAAACAGGAATTTGGCTTCATGCTGAGGCATTCACTCTTCCTTGTGTTTTGGTCACTTTTTGAAATGGACTGCTGAGGTGATGGGAGCTACTAAGTTGACTGCCTTGCACTCAGACTCATTGTGGACCACATCACACCAAGATTTCACTGCTTCATCAATGGTGCAGTACTGGGATGAGGTTTACAACCTTTAGGATCCATTTAAACTGGATCTAACTCTATATACAGTAAGGCAGACAACTTGCATATACAAGATAAAATATTTCCCAGGCATCTTCCATCTATGTGTTCTGATATTAATTTTCTTTTTTCCCAGCCATGACATTCCATTCTCCACCCCAGAAGCAAAGCTGAGTTTCACCTCTCTTCCTAGAAGTCAAAACATACTAGATATTTACCCATTTTTGTTTCATACCCACCAGGTTGTACTGGTGCCTGCAGCATACAGACAAAGGGTTTATTCTCTTATTTCTTATGCCAATCTGTCTCTCATGTTGGAATTATTGGGAAATGAAAAAATACTAATAGGACTAAAAGCAGCCCCCTAGGTCTTCAGACTAATCCTTCATGAGCATGAGTGATCATGAAATAGGCGTCAATCCTAGGTAAACCATGTGCTTTTTTGCCCCTTACTGCAAGAAAGATATTGAGGTGCTGGAGTGTGTCCAGAGAAGGGCAGTGAAGCTGGTGAAGGGTCTGGAGCAAAAGTCTTATGAGGAGCAGCTGAGAGAACTGGAGAAAAAGAGGTTCAAGGGAGACCTTCTTGCTCTCTACAACTACCTGAAAGTAGGTTGTAACGTGGAGGAGGTCGATCTCTTCTCCCAGATAACAAGCAACAGGGCAAAAGGAAACAGCTTCAAGTTGTGCCAGGGGAGGTTTAGTTTGGATATTAGGAGGTAATTCTTCACCCAAAGGGTAGTCAAGCATCTGAACAGGCTGCTCAGGGAGGTGGTGGAGTCACCATCCCTCTTGTATATGTGGCATGTAGGGACATGGTTGAGTGGTGGACTTGGCAGTGTGAGGTTAATGGTTGTATTTGATGATCTTAAAAGGTTTTTTCCAATCAAAACAATTCTATGGTTCTGTGATTCTATGCATTTTTTCCACACATCATTTCTGTGCACAGTCAGCCACAAACTCTTT